TTATAGATTTCAAGCCACTCTTTTTGATACTGTTTTCATTGAGAAAATATATTCTACAAGAAGGCAATAGAAAAAGTTTTCTGATTCAGCTCTGGAGATAAGCTGTGTTTCAATTCTCTTTTTACCTCCAGGAAGGAATAAAGATGCTTTCCTGGCACTGGCTATGGAGTGAGACCCCTGGTCTGTTCTAAGCTGCCACCAATAGGCAATGCCACTCATGCTGGCCCCTGGGTGGGATGAGAAGGGCCTCTGACTTGGACAGAGTGAAGGAGCTCAGAAGTTACAGGAATGAGGTGTCCAGAGCTCAGTTGCTGCAGAGAAGGGAATTGGTACCATCAATAGAGCCAATATATAGCCTGCCAGTGTGAATTTCTTGAAAGAGACAACTTATATATGGTAGGGCTAAAACTTCTAGTGTTTTATTCTGGCTATAAAATCTGATTACTCAAAGATGATATCAAGGGCCGGGCCCAGTGGCTCAAGCCTGTAATCCCAGCACTTTGGGAGGCCGAGACGGGCGGATCACGAGGGCAGGAGATCGAGACCATCCTGGCTAACACGGTGAAACCCCATCTCTACTAAAAAGTACAAAAAACTAGCCGGGCGTGGTGGCAGCGCCTGTAGTCCCAGCTACTCGGGAGGCTGAGGCAGGAGAATGGCGTGAACCCGGGAGGCGGAGCTTGCAGTGAGCTGAGATCCGGCCACTGCACTCCAGCCTGGGAGACAGAGCGAGACTTCGTCTCCGGAAAAAAAAAAAAAAAAAAAAAAAAAGATATCAAACTTCATGGTGGAGATAAGAAGCTCCAGGAATCTATCCCTCCATTAAAACAATAGAACTGGCAAGAGCTGTCTGATGCAACTATTTTGGAATTTGGGATCTTAGGGAACACTTGCCGCACCCAGGAGAAAGTTTGATGAGGAGGCTGGCAAGTTTTGGTCAAGTTCAGCTCTTCACTTAGTGGTGGCTATCACCCGCCTTGATCAGCCCAGGGCAGTCAGTTGTGGGGACAGCAGCTCAGGTTCTCAGTGTGGCTCGCTGGAGGCAGGTTGGACAATAAAGACCCCATTTTCCAAAAACCAAGGTTGTAGGTTCTGATTACTGATTGCTGCTTTTGATCCTTGAGGGGCTAGCATATAGGGAACATTTTTCATGACCCTGGGTTTGTCAAACATTTCTTGGATAGGATATCAAAAGCACCAGCAACAAAAGAAAAAATCAGGTAAGCCGGACTTCGTCAAAATTAACATTTTTGCACCAAAGGATACTATCAAGAGAGTAAAAAGACAACCTGTGGAATGGGAGAAAATATTTGCAAATTCTATATATGATAAGGAATTAATATTCAGAATTAACTACATTTCAACAACAAAAAAAGCAAACAATTTAAAAATGAGTAAAGGATGTGAGTAAACATTTATATGAAGAAGATATACAAATGGCCAATAAGCATATGAAAAGAGGCTCAATATCATTAGTCATTAGGTAAATGCAAATACCACAATGTGACACCACTTTACAGCATTAGGATGGCTTTTATCAAAAACAAAAAAACAAAACCAGACAAGTGCTAGAGAGCATGTGGAAACCAAGAAACCTTGTCCATTGCTGATGGGAATGAAAAAAGACAGCTTGGTGATTCCTCAAAAAGTTGAATATAGAATTACTATATGATCCAGCAGTTCCTCTCCTAGGAATATACCCAAAATAATCAAAAACAAGGCTGGAACAGATGCTTGTGTGTTGCTGTTCATTGCAACGTCATTCACTATAGCCAAAAGTTATGGAAACAACCCAAGTGTCCATCAACAGATGAATGGATGAACAAAATATGTTATGTACATATAATGGAATATTATTGAGCCGAACAAATGAAATCCTCATACATGCTACAACCTAGATGAACCTTCAGGACATGTGCTGTGGGAAATAAGCCAGACACAAACTATCAAGCAATGTATATGCTTCCATGTATATGAGGTATCTAGAATGGACCAATTCATGGAGACAAAGTAGATCAAAGGTTACCAGGGACTGTGGGGAGGTGGAATGGAGAATTACTCCATTGGCTACTTCAATTACTTCAATGGCTACAGAATTCTTATTTGGGAAAATGAAAAGTACTGGAAATAGATAGTGGTGATGGTTGCACAATATTGTGAATGTAATAAATGTCAGTGATTTGTACACTTAAAAATTATTAATGATCGGGTGTCGTGGCTCACACCTGTAATCCCAGCACTTTGGGAGGCCACAAGGTCAGAAGATCAAGACAATCCTGGCCAACACGGTGAAACCACGTCTCTACTAAAATGTAAAAAATTAGCCGGGTGTGGTGGCATGTGCCTGTAGTCCCAGCTACTTGGGAGGCTGAGGTAGAGGAATCGCTTGAACCTGGGAGGCGGAGGTTGCAGTGAGCCGAGATTGTGCAACTGCACTCCAGCCTAGCAACAGAATAAGAGTCTGTCTCAAAAAAAAAAAAAAAAATTATTATTAACATGGCAAATTTCATGATATAGACATATTTTACAATTTTTAAAATTAATAATGTAATATATTCAAAACCACTGCAGGTACACTTAGCGCGAATTACATAGCATGTGAATTATATCTCAATAAAGCTGTTTTGGGTGGGCACAGTGGCTCACATCTGTAATCTCAGCACTTTAGGAGGCTGAGGCAGGAGGACAACTTGAGGCCAGCAATTTGAGACCAGCCTGGGTAATATAGTGAGACGCCCATGTCTACAAAAAACTTTAAAAAATTAGCCGAGGGTGGTGGCAAGTGCCTGTAGTCCCAGCTACTTGAGAGGCTGAGGCAGAAGGATTGCTTGAGCCCAGGAGTTTGAGGTTAGAGTGAGCTATGATCATGCCGCTGCACTCCAGCCTGGGCCACAGAGCAAGACCCTGTCAAATAAATAAATAAGCTGGTTTTTAAAAATCACTGTAATTAAAAACAAAAACTCCTGGATGCTCCTGGTTGGCAAAATGCTGATCCTTGTTGTGGCTGGCTGAATTCTAAAGATTTCAGGATTCTAATTTAGTACTGCTCTGAAGGGACTTTGCAGATGGAATTCAGATGACTAAGTAGCTGACGTTAAAACAGGGAAATTATCCTGGGTTATCCAGGCAGGCTCTTAAAAACAGCGGAGGGAGGCAGAAGAGTCATCGAGATAAGGCAGAAACAGAAAGCAGGAGAGGAGAGGGTGAAGGGGGAGAAGGACTGTTTACACTTCCCTTTAGGTTATAGTTCACTAGGCACAGAGAAACCTTTAGGCTGAACTTAAAAATATGTAAGAGCAGCTTTAGGCTAAACTTGATTTAACAGGGAAAAACATGACTTTGCAAAAATTCTTTCAGGGAGTGTTCTATTGACACATTTGAAGACCACAGTTCTGGAAAGCGAGGAAGACGGGGCCCAGAGCCCTCCCCAGCAGTGTCACTGCCCAGCTCTGGTTCTCCAGTTCCCTCCCCAGCAGTGTCACTGCCCAGCCCAAGGGCCAAAAAGGCTTGAAAACAGGCTCGAAGAGCGGCTTCCTGGGAGCTAGAAGCTCACGTGGGGACAGATGAGCTCAAGCCTGCCTGAGCGCTCTCCAGCCCCACCGATTCAGTTTAAATCCGGACGGGTCTTCTCAAAGACAGTTCCAGAAGAGGCCACGTGAGGGCAGTAACAGCCTCTCAATGCCTGTTTTTAGGGAACGAGAGAAGTGGGGGCGGAGCGCGGGGAGTGTCCCAGGCCTGGCTACCCAGATAACTTCCCCAAAAGAAGCCACGCTCAGGCCTTCCCATCGTCCCACTCAAGAGCTTTCTTCATATTGGTCAGTTGCCTAACCTGTTACGAAAAGAACTTCCCAATTATAGTCAAGACTCTTCGTCTAAATTCAGATTTCCACCAAACAGCCCAGCACTTTTCCTCCCCAAATCATCTCCTTACTCAGTAAACATTTGCAGACATTCATCACACGAGATCCCAGCCGTGGGCTCAGCATCGTACACCGAGGTAGGAATATACAGACGTATTCCTGAGTGTATTCTGTGAATGCAAAAGTGCATATGTCTCTTCATGGACCAGGTTCTGAGTGAATCTAAGAGGAGAACACGGAATAGCAGGCTAATTCCAGAAAATGCAGGGCCTTTGCAAGGAAGTGGGCGTCTAGTCACTAAGCAGATAGTAACAACAGGTGGTGCTAAATGATTGCTTCAAACCACTTTGTTAGGTGGATCAGAGAAGGGAGAAGGCTCAGAAGAGACAGGGCAGCAAGAGGCGTTTATTAGCTAGATGCAAATGGGAAATGGGAAACTAACTCAGGATAACCTTACGCAATAGAATTTTTTGTGCCCATTGAGTAAGTCAGGAAACTGAGGGTTAAGGAGGTGAAGTAACTTGGCAAAGGTCATGCCGTCAGATCAAAGTCCAGCTCCAGATTTGGTTTACTCTAAATACCCTTCCTCACCCCCCTTTTTAAGAAATACCTTAAATAAAAATTTATTTGTACTTGATCTTACATTATTATTTATTTGTATTCAGCACATTTTCATTTAGAAAGTTGGAAAATAAAGGCACAAAAACAAAATAACAGTAATTTCATTATTCAAGAATAGCCTCATCAATACAATCTTGTCCCAGAAATGTTGTAAACACACACACACACGCACAATACTGTTACATATATTTTTGTAAGATATATATAACAAAAAATGCGATCCTGTTATACTTTTCAGTATTTTTGTTTTCCATTTAAATAAATGTGCATATGAACATTACTTTGAACAACTACATAATAGTATCATACTCTATTATATGGACAGTAAACTCTCACCAATTCATTTACTCATGAACATTTAGGGTGTTTCTATGTGTTTTTTTGATGTGATAAATAACAATAATCACCTGCATACTAATATCAGTGTCTCAGTGTCTTTTTTTTTTTTTTTTTTTTTTTTGAGAGTTGCGCTCTGTTGCCTAGGCTGGAGTGCAGCGGTGTAATCTCGGCTCACTGCAACCTCCACCTCCCGGATTCAAGCGATTCTCCTGCCTCAGCCTCCCAAGTAGCTGTGACCACAGGTGTGTGCCACCACACGCCCAGTCTTCTTGAGATTCAATCTCTCCGGTCCTGTGATAGGAGGAAGAAGCCACATGAAGAGGCCATGTGTCTGGGATGGCAGCTCCAGCTGTAGTCTCAGCCTACAGCAGACATCAGTCTCTAGACATGCAAACAAAGAGACCTCCTGGGTGACTCCAGCCCAACCCACTGTCTGACAGCAGTCTCACAAGAACGGTCCAGGAGACCCCAGCCAATTTCAGACCATGAGAGAGAAAACAGGCTGAGCAGCCCTAATCCAAAACTTATAAAATCTGAAATACTCCACGTTTCAAAACTCTTCGAGCGCTGACGTGATGCTCAAAGGTCATGCTCAAAGGAAATGAATATTGGCGCATTTTGGATTTCTGATTTTTGGATCAGGGATGCTCAACTGGTGAATACAATGCAAATATTCCAAAATTTTTTTAAAAATCCCAAATCCAAAACATTTCTGTTCTCAAGCATTTTGGCTGTTTTTTCATGGGTAATTGGGGTACAGGTGGTCTTTGGTTACATGAGTAAGTGATTTAGTGGTGGTTTGTGGGATTTTGGTGCACTCATCACCCAAGCAGTATACACTGTGCCCTATTTGTAGTCTCTTATCCCTCATCCCCTCTCCCACCCTTCCTCCCAAGTCCCCAGACCCATTGCATCATTCTTACGCCTTTGAATCCTCATAGCTTAGCTCCTACATATCAGTGAGAACATATGATGTTTGGTTTTCCATTCCTGAGTTACTTCACTTAGAGTAATCGTCTCCAATCTCATCCAGATCACTGTGAATGCCATTAATTCATTCCTTTTTTTGGCTGAGTAGTATTCCATCAGATAGATAGATAGACAGACAGATAGAAAGATAGATAGATAGATAGAGATAGAAAGATAGATAGATAGATAGATACATACATACATACATAGATATCTCAGTTTCTTTATCCACTTGATTGGTGAGTATTTGGGTTGCCTCCCAAGTTCAAGCAATTCTCCTGCCTTGGCCTCCTGAATAGCTGGGATTACAGGCCTGCACCATCATGCCTGGCTAATTTTCATATTTTTAGTAGAGATGGGGTTTCACCATGTTGGCCAGGCTGGTTTCGAACTCCTGACCTCAGGTCATCCACCTGTTTCGGCCTCCCAAAGTGCTTGGATTACAGGCTTGTGCCACTGTACCGGGCCCCAGTTCTTACGTGAACAACAAAAAAATCTATATGCTAGAGAAGCAAGGATTCATGGAAAACAAAATAAAATGCATCAGCTTTTTTAACTCATTGAAAACCTTAGACTATGAAAATCTTAGACTATGAAATCATATCATCAGGCAATGTGAGTAAAAGGATTTATACGTCATTAGGTAATCTCCTGAAGTCAAACATCCTTTCTGAGTTTCAAACATATGCACCCATCCGTGACAAGCTGTGGACAGTAATGGGTATTTCCATCTGCGATAAATTGTTCCAATTGTTTGAACAATTCCTTTGTTTGAACAAAGTTATTTCATAAGATTGTTACAATAGGTAGCTAGTCAGACACAAGCAGGGCAGGAGAGGGCCCCCTACACACACCAGGAATGTCAGGCTAGCATCGGGTGATGGTCAGGCAGTTGTTAACTGTCTAAAATAATAATTGGTTGTAGCCAGTGCCAAGGAAATGTTGTCTCCGAATAGATAGCAAATACCTGAAACTGGGGCTCAGCAGCTTCCCGATAAGATCTCAGGAACTGGGCAAGTAGGCTAAGCTTGCACACTAAGAGGCAAATCGGTGGAGTTTAACTGGTATATGACCTTCCTCTAGAAACACTTGACTGGTAAGGAAAGAGGGCCTCAAGTGAGCTTGTGCACAATTCTGGTAAATGCACTGCACATGAGGCCCCTCCCAAGCACTGGCAGGTCACTGCGCATGCGGACAGCCCAACCAAGGGAAGAATCAGGGGAGAAGGACGCAAGCCCCTGGAAGCATGCAGAAGTATTAAACCCCAAGTCAAAGGCCAAACAATGCACTTGGTCTCTCAAGCTGCCCTCTCGGCCGTCTTCCAAGTGTACTTAACTTCCCTTCACTCCTATCCTAAAACTTTTCAAGAAATTTTCACTCCAGCTCTAAACTTGCCTTGGTCTCTCCTTCTGCCTTATGTCCCTTGGTCAAATTCTCTCTTCTGAAGAGGCAAGAATCGAGGTTGCTGCCGACCTGTATGGATTCGCCACCAGTAACAAGATCTCAGAACATTGGAAAAATCGATGCAAAAACAAAAGGCTAGCACTGACCGCAACACTCTAAAATAATGACCACCGTTTAGTCTTCAGTAACATTAAAGTCGATCTCATTTATAGATACATTTTTTAAAGTAAATAATCTCTTGAAGGCGAACGTACATACTGAAAAGCGCACAACTCTTAAGAGTACCTACAGCTCAAGGCATTTTACCAAAGTCAGTGCCACTGTTGAGAGTCACTTTTGACGGTAAACAAGAATTTGGGGGAGAAAGAGGTTGTCAGCAATAAAGTGACATCCAACTCATTAGGGACTTTTCTCACTGTGATTACCAACAAGACCAGTGGTACCAATAGACGCAATTGCAGAGGAGCTTTTGGGGACATAGCATCAGGTGCACTTAGTGGTGTCTGATAACCACAACTTTGCTGTTCTGAATAAGGCAAATGGGCCAAGGGTCAAAAAGATAGATGGGTTATACTCCTTTGATGTCACCTGTATTAATATAGTGCCAGTCTTAGTATTTGATAGGGTGCTGAGGGAATGGGGAGGAATCTTAATAAGGATTCTAAATGTGATTAGCTCTTAGAAACCTGGAGTTACATTTTGTTGGTTGCTTTGGTCAAGCAAAATAAAGGGTAATATATAACTTTTGTGGGTACCCTCTTGCCCCTCCTCCCAGCCTGTTTCCACCCCTCTTTCCCCACCTCCTCATTCCCCATGAAATACACATCATAGTAGCACCCAGCTGTGAGGACATCTCAAACTTTCCATCCAAATGCTCTTTGGGGCAGAAGACCTGAATTGTACCCCCTTAGGGAGGGGCAGTGGACAGGAGGTATAGGAAGGTACCTGTGGAAGCTGTGGGGACATATCAAAAGCTAGATATTCTTGTGACATGTTGTGGTTTATCTTTTAAAAATCTCCACGAATCTTGCATTAAACTCTGTAGTAATATAAAGTTTCAAATGTCCCATTTTAACTCCTTAACTATCTGTTATGGTGAAACCTCCAGCTTTGTTGCTTTTGCTGAAGATTGCTTTGGCTATCCAGGGTCTTTTGCATTTCCACATGAATTTTAAGATTGTTTACTCCCACTTCGGTGAAGAACATCACTGGTATTTTGATAGGGATTGCATTGACTCTCTAGACCTCTGGGTAATATGGACATTTAAACACTATTAATACTTCCAATCCATGAATATGGGATAGTTTTCCATTTATTTGTGTTAATTCTCTGTTATGGGTTGACTTGTGTTCCCCCAAAAAGATATTTTGAAGCCCTAACCCCAGTACCTCAGAATGTCATATTTGGAATTAAGATGTTTGCAGATGTAGCTGAGTTAAGATGAGGTCATTAGGATGGACCTTAATACAATATGACGGGTGTCTTTATTAAAAGGGGAAATTTGGACACAGACGCACATGCATACACATACACAAAGAGAGAGAGAGAACGTCATATGATGATAAAGGCAGAGATCGGGGTAATGCAATCACAAGCCAAGGAACACCAAAGATTGCCAGCAAACCACCAGAAGCCAGGAGAGAGAATGGAGTAGATTCTCCCCCCAGCCCTTGGAAGGAACCAACCCTGCCAACACCTTGATCTTAGACTTCTAGTCTCAGAACCGTGAGACAACAAACTTCTGTTGTTTAAGCCACCCAGTTTGTGGTGCTTTGTTATGGAGGCCCTAGAAGCCTAATGTACTATTCAATAAAATTGACCCTTAAGGAAGATGTACCACAGTTTCATGTCCCTCCATTCCTACTCCAGCTGATCAGGCACCCCGGGAGACCAGAGTGGAGCTGCACGGATTTTCAAGAGGTTGAGCAAATGCACATGAAGGCACTTTACAAATTCTTAAATAACACAAGAATGCCGGTCATTGCTATGAAGTGGAAAGGAAGGCAAAGGGGCTTCTGGGACATGGTAATGTCAACTAAGTCAAGAAGACTGATTGATTTAGAAATCTATCAGGGCTCTCGGAGAGATTAATCAATGTCTCAATCAGTTCGTAGGTGTGGAAAGTGTAGATAATTGCTTCTTTAATTGTTCCTAATAAATGGGTTCAAAACGCAGAACGTTTCCAGGTGTAATTCATATAGATGCAATTTAGAAGAACTTTGATTGAAACCACCTTTGAAAAATTACAACTGAGGAAATTATGACCGTCAAAGAGATCAGACCTAACTGACTCCATCTTGCTTCTAACCTTTATGCTGTCCTTGTTCATTCCAGGGCATAGACCAAAGTAACTTTGGTAATGAATTCAGTTCTTGGTTTGAGCCTGAAACAAAATTGATAATAGCCTTTTCCTAAAAAGATCCCCTTCTTGCCTGGGGACTAGTCTGCCTTTGAGGACTAACAAATTAGCTACAAGATTAGAAATTACGGTTTAGGGGTCATGCAGCCTCTGGTTCCAGGAGTCTGAACCTCCCCAAATTGCTTCTGGGGATAACTTCACTATTGTAAAACTTTAGATCAATGCTTGAGATACTTTGCAGACCCTGCAAAATCACCCAGCTGACACCACCTAGATCTGTAATCTGGCTCCACCAGTTCTGCCATCCTACCCAGGAAGAGAAGACAGGAAGAAAAACTCGCTTCAACCCCCCATGTTTCCATCTCCAACCTGAGCAATCTGCACTCCTCACTTCCAAGCCCCTTCCCGCCAAATTCATCTTTAAAAACTCCAATCCCCGAATGCCCGGGGAGACTGATGTGAGTAATAATTAAACCCCTGTCTCCTGCACAGCGGGCTCAGCCTGAATTACTCTTTCTCTATTGGATTTCCCTGTCTTGATAAATCAGCTCTGTATAGGCAGTGTGCAAGGTGAACCCCTTGGACATTACACTAGCATTTTATTCTATTTCATTCTGTTCTAATCTAAGGTCATTATTGATTTTCCAAACCCACCATAGTACTTGGACACCGTGTCTCCATGGTGCTACTCTTGTAAATGTAATCCTGGTGTATCAATTTTAAAGAAAATGTTTGGGATGAAAATAGAATACTTGGAAATTCTAACACTGTCAACCACCAGAGGCCCATAATAAGCAGAGGGTACCTGTTAGGCAAAACAATTAGCATTTATGTTTAAATGGCAAGCAGGCTGGGCGCGGTGGCTCATGCCTGTAATCCCAGCACTTTGGGAGGCCGATACGGGAGGATCATGAGGTCAGGAGATCAAGACCATCCTGGCTAACACGGTGAAACCCTGTCTCTACTAAAAATACCAAAAAAAAAAAAAAAAAAAAAAACTCTACTAAAAATACAAAAAAAAAAAAAAAAAAAAAAAAAATTAGCTGGACGTAGTGGCAGGTGCCTGCAGTCCCAGCTACTCGGGAGGCTGAGCAGGAGAATGGCGTGAACCTGGGAGGCGGAGCTTGCAGTGAGCTGAGATCATGTCACTGCACTCCAGCTCTGGCTACAGAGTGAGAATCCTTTCAAAAAAAAAAAAAAAAAAAAAAAATATATATATATATATATATATATATATATGTATGGCAAGCAGAAGATAATTAATGAGTTTATTTTGTTTTCTTTCCTTGCTTCAGGTTTTTAGTCTTCACTGTCCATGTAAATGCTGGGGAAGGCAAGTTCAGAGCAGTGGTTTCCAATACTTTCAAGTAGATTTTCTTTTTTATGTTTTAATTAATATGTAATAGCTGTACATTGATTTCTTTTTTAATTTCAAAATATGTTTCAGGATCCTCTTAAAATAATTTTATTTTGAAGACATTCTCATTGAGAAGAGAGATAGTAATGAAACGGTAACTATTAATTAAATAGCTCTTCTAAATAAAGTTCCCTATTATCAAACAGAACAACTTCTAGGGTTACTGCAAAAGGGTTATGCGCATAACTGCCTGATATGTGACGCAGTCATTATAGGCAAGACTTGGTGAACATTCGAGGTCCAAGTCCCTTTGCGATAGCATCAAAGAAGAGCCCAAGATTGAGGACCCTTCACCAAGGAAACTGAATTGGTCAGAGCAGGCTTTCATTACAGCCCTGACAGTAGCAGCCGTGGATCTAATGAAGAGAGCCCTGGACAAGGCCTCTTGACTTGGTCACTTCCTAGCAGCACGTCTAATCTCATGCGGCCTCACTTTCCTCTTCTGAAGAACACCTCACAGGGCAGTCATCTAAAGGAGGTGAGGGTCATACACAATACTGGACAGACAAGAAATAGGTGGCTCATGCCTGTAATCCCAGCACCTTGGGAGGTTGAGGCAGGAAAATCGTTTGAGCCCAGGAGTTTGAGACCAGCCTGGGCAACATAGTGAGACCCTGTCTCTACAAAAAATCTAAAAATTAGCAAGGCATGGTGACTTATGTCTGTAGTCGTAGCTACTAGGGAGGCTGAGGTAAGAGGATGGCTTAATCAGAGGCTGAGGTGGGAGAATGACTTGAGCCCAGCAGTTTGAGGCTGCAGCAAGCCATGATTGTGCCACTGCACTCTAGCCTGGGTGCAAAAGAAAACAAACAAACAAACAAAAAATACATATATGCATGCATTTCCTCTTTACACAGGAGTATCCAATCTTTTGACTTTCCTGGGCCACATCAGAAGAATCGTCTTGGGCCACACATAAAATGCGCTAACACTAATGATACTGATGTATTGCAAAACAATCTTATAATGTTTTAAGAAAGTTTACGAATTTGCATTGGGCCACATTCAAAGCCATCCTGGGCCACACGTGGCCTGCAGGTTACAGGTTGGACAAGCTTGCATTGTAAGAATCAAGTTGGGTGGTAATGGGGTAAGATTTCCCTATATTGCCAATTGTAGAACCTCAAAAATGGGAAGTTGCCTGGTTCAGCTTCACAACTGTAGTGACTATGGAGTAACTGCATCCTCCTGAGGATGCATCTTGCAGGAATGAGGGCAGAGGAGGAAGTTGCACACGAGCACATGCACACATGCACCTGATGAAACACACCTGTATCTGTCATTCCCCAGGGCTGAGTGGAGCTGCTGCCCAAGACTAGGCTGCAAGCTGTTCCTCTGGGGTACATGGAACCACTTACCCCATCTCCAGAGCCACTCACCCATGACTGCTGCAGGCCGTGCATCAGTTCCGGTTTGGGGATGAAGGTAGCCTGTGAAAGTGACAAAGAGGAAGCTGTGGCTGCAACAGTGAGAGCATGGTGTGGGGGGCCCCCTGCCCTTTGCCATCTGATAATGGGATTCTCCTGGGCACCCATGTAATTGGTTCAGCAGGAGACAGAACGCTCCCTAGGGGAGACGATGGAGTAAGTGAGATCTTCATGCTGGTTCTCCTTCTCCCTTCTCCTGTGTTTGTCCCTTACCCAACAACCTTCCCCATCCCCTCCACAGCCCACCCTCCCTCCACTGGGGTGCTTGCTTTTGAGTTGGAGTCTCGCTTTGTTACCCAGGCTGGAGGGCAGTGGCGTGATCATAGCTTACTGCAGCCTTGAATTCCTGGGCTCAAACAATCCTCCAACCTCATTCTCTTGAGTCACTGAGACTACAGGCACAGACCAGTATGCCTAAGTACTTTTTTTTTTTCTAACTTTTGTAGAGACAGGGTCTCCCTATGTTGCCCACACTGGAGATTGGGGCATTTTCACACTGCATTGAAATGACCACCTCCCAAACTGGCCTGTGAGTGTTGTGAAGGTAGGGACTCTTCTCACTGATCTTTGCTTTCCTGATACCTAGAATCATACTGGGTGCATAGCAGGCACCTCATAAATATCGGTTGGATGAATAGAAGGATGGAGCTAAAGCAATGAAGGCTGACATACTTCCACCCAAAACAAATATTCCTCCAGCCCAGACTCTCTCCCATTGCCTAGATGTGGCCTCACATCTCAGTCTGCTTTCCAGTGAGTGTGTTCCTTTGCACACACACAAGTACACCGTGGGAGACACCGCTGTTGTCCTCACTGGTCCTCCTAAACATCCACATGCATAGCAGCCTATGAGAACAAGACAAGCCACAGGCCAGGAGAAAATATTTGCAAAACATATATCTGATGACTGATGTCCAAAATATGCAAAGATCTCTTACACTCAACAATAAGAAAAGAGATGGCCTAATTAGAAAATGAGTAAAAGATCTGAACAGATACCTCACCAAAAAAGACATACAGATGGCAAATAAGCATAGGTAAAGAGGCTTAACATCAAACGTCATTCAGAAATTATGAATTAAGTCAACAGTGAGATACAACTGCATACCTATTAGAATAGCTCAAATTCAAAACACTGAGAATGCCGAACATGCTGAGAAAGCGCGAACCCTGAGAACGTGCTGGTTAGGATGGGAGCCACAGAAACGCTCATTCACTGCTGATGGGAACGCAGCATGGTGCAGCCGCTTTGGAGCACAGGGTGACCATTTCCTGCAAAGCTGAATGCAGTCTTGCCATAAGATCCAGCAAGCATACTCCTTGGTATTTACTCAAATGAGTTAAAAATTTACATCTCCACAAAAACCTGCACGCAGATGTTTATAGCAGCTTTATTCATAATTACCAAAACCCGGAAACAACCAAGATGTCTTCAAGCAGGTGAATGGGTAAATAAACGAGGGAACACGCAGACAATGGCATGTTGTTCAGGGCTAAGAGGAAATGAGCTATTGAGCTCTGAAAAGACATGGAAGCAACTGACATGCGTGTTACTAAGTGAAAGAAGCCAATCTGAAAAGGCTACATGTTATACAATTCCCCTCTATGACACTGGAAAAGGCAAAACAATAGAGACAGTTAAAAAAAAATCTGCGGTTCGGGGGTGAGGTGGTGTGGGGAAGGGACGACTGGTGGAGCAGAGGGGGTTTTCCGGGCAGTGAAACGATCCTGTGTGATACTTCAGTGATGCCTGCATGCCATGATGCATTTGTCTAAACCCATAGAATGTGTAACACCAAGGGGGAGCCCTAATGTAAACCACGGATATTAGTTAATAATAATGTATCAATATGGGCTCATTGATTTGAAAATATATACCACACAAATGTAAGATAATAATAGGGGCTAAGGAATATATGGAGAACTCTCTGTACTTCCTGCTTGATTTTTTCTGTCAGCACAAAATAGTTCAAAAAATAAAGTCTGGGCTGGGAACTGTGGCTCACGCCTGTAATCCTAGCACTTTGGGAGGCCAAGGCGGGCAGATCACCTGAGCTCAGGAGTTCAAGACCAGCCTGGCCATATTGGTGAAACCCCACCTCTACTCAAATACAAAAATTAGCCGGACATGATGGCAAGTGCCTGTAATCCCAACTACTCGGAAAGCTGAGACAGGAAAATCTCAGTGGCCGAGATCATGCCACTGCACTCCAGCCTGGGTGGCTAAGCGAGACTCTGTCTCAAAAAAATAAATAAATACAAATAAATAAATAAAGTCTGTTAAAGAGAAAGAGCGAGCAGCTCCTGCCAACTTATTATTTGGCCTATAAACACATCAGGTTATTCACAATAACATGTTGCTGCTGTGATTGTTAGCATCAAATATTTGCACATCAAGGGTCTTCTCTGTGCCCTGGGACACACAGGGGTGAGAGCAGAGAGGTGCAGCAGGTTAGTCTGGTGGGATCTTCCTTTCCAACCCACTCTCTTCAGTCGGGTCAGCTCGGGGTCTGCTCCTGGTCCTGTCGTTGCCCCTGACAAGGAGCCTGCAGCAACACCATGGACTTACCAGTCCCATGCAAAAGCACTTGAATCTCTTAGCAAACCAAGTGATCGTTTACAGCAGCTCCTGCTCCTACCTGAATGCGTCTCCTTCGCCTTCTCTGGGGCTATCAAGCCCTGCTCTTGGTGAGGAAGCTCTGGAAACAGAGGACAAGTCTGTGCTCTGCTCCACTCGGAGCCCTTGAACTGACTTTTTAAACTACGCACATATAACTTATAACTGTCTCTTTTTAAATTTTTTTTTTGAGACGGAGTTTCACTCTTGTCGCCCAGGCTGGAGAGCAATGGCACTTTCTCAGCTCAGCGCAACTTCCACCTCCCGGGTTCAAGTGATTCTTCTGCCTCAACCTCTCAAGTAGCTAGGATTACAGGATTGTGCCACCACACCGGGCTAATTTTGTATTTTTTAGCAGAAACGGGGTTTCTCCATGTTGGTCAGGCTGGTCTCAAACTCCTGACCTCAGCTAATCCACCTGCCTTGGCCTCCCAAGGTTCTGGGATTATAGGCGTGAGCCACCACACTTGGCCAACTGTCCTTAAATATTTAAAACACAGTGAAATAAAACACAAAATCAAAGGTTTTGTTTTGGGGCTGGAGATAAAAGAGCTGGAATTACTGAAGATGCAGGATGGAGCTGGTCCCCAGGGTCCCCAGGCCATGCAGAGGACTGCACCAGCCATATTAGTTCACTCAGGCTGCCATAACAAAATATCACCGACTGGGAAGCTGAAACAACAGAAGTGTATTCTCCCACAGCCCTGAGGCTGGAAGTCTAAAATCAAGGTGTCTGCAGGGTCGGCTCCTCCTGAGGGTGTGATGGAGAATCTGTTCCAGGCCTCTGTCCTTGGCGTGTCAATGGCCGTCTTTATCTTCACGTGATATTCTCCCTATATGCAGTTTGTCTCCAAATTTCACCCTCCCTTTTAAAATAGGGTACCAGTCATATTGGATTAAGGTCCACCCTTAAGAGTTCATTTCAACTTGATTATCTCTACAAAGACCATATCTCCAAAGAAGGTCACATTCTGAGGTCCTGGGGGTTGGGACTTCAATATGGGAATTTGGGGTGGGGAAACAACGTAATTCAACCCCTAACATCCAAGCATCCAACGGCTGCTGGGAGAAGCTCTTACAGGAAAGGAAACACCAAGTCGCCAGCATCCTGGGAAATGCAAAGAGCACAGAGCCTCTCTGGTAACCTCAAGAAAAGGGTTGTGGGAGTTCCAGTAAAGTCAGGAGAGCAGAGCTCAGGGCCACTGGCTCAGAAGGCTCCTGGCTCTCGGCGATGGGCGGGGCTCACTCTGCCTCCTGCCACTCAGCTCTCCTTACCTCTTCTTCTGCACTGCCCGGCTCCCCACTGGTTTCTGCCCCAAGTCTTACCTCCTTGAGTCAGCTGTCCGTCCCCTTGGCCCGCTGCACAATGGCTGGGGTTGGGAGGGAAGCAGGAGGAAAGTTATGGAACAAAGCGTGGCTGCTCCAGCCAAGGGGCCACAGTGGGCAACACGTGGCAGCCAATTGGCCAGTGTGGCCAGCGTCCCCAACAGACACACTAAAGCTGCTCCCAGGGGCAGCCCTGGGGAGGTTGGTAATGGCTATTGTAAATCGGTTGGTTTGAAGTGATTGACTGCATGGTACATCAGTGGGAATTGTGGATTTAATTGGCCAACACCTGCCATGCAAAAGCCATCTTAGAATAAGCCACTTTTCCTTGTGAGTGTGAGTGTGGGTCTCTGAGAAGAAACCCCATTCCTACATCAAGCCTTCACACTCCTGCCGAGAGCCAGTTTGGGGACCCAGGGGTGGTGGCAGTGTTGGCCACTGTTTCCAGGGCTTCTTTAAAAGGAAAACAGGCTGGGAGTGGTGACACATACTTGTAATCTCAGCACATTGGGAGGCTGAGGCAGGCAGATCGCTTGAGCCCGGGAGTTTAAGGATAGCCTGGGCAACATGGCAAAATCCCATTTCTACCAAACAAACAAACAAAAACACAAAAATTAGCCAGGCGTAGTGGTGCACACCTATAGTCCCAACTACTCAGGGGGATGAGGAAGGAGGATTGCCTGAGCCCAGGAGGTCAAGGCTGCAGTGAGCTGATGGTGCCACCGCACTCCAGCCTGGGTGACAGAGTGAGACACTGTCTCAAAATAAAAAAAGGGAAAAGCAGGTGGGCCACAGGTCTAGGTGTATCCACCCAGCAGGGTGGGAGTCCTCAGTGCTGCTGGCAGGTTCCTGAATCACATCTACATTATCACTGAACAGAGCTAAATAAATGAAATGACACTGAGGGCCTGAAAGAGAGCCTGGCTGAGGCCGGGCACAGTGGCTCAAGGCCGGGCATGGTGGCTTACGCCTGTAATCCCAGCATTTTGGGAGGCCGAGGCAGGTGGATCACCTGAAGGCAGGAGTTTGAGACCAGTCTGGACAACATGGAGAAACCCCGTCTCTACTGAAAACACAAAAATTAGCTGGTCATGGTGGCACACACCTGTAATCTGCTACTCGGGACGTTGAGGCAGGAGAATCACTTGAACCCAGGAGGCGGAGGTTACAGTGAGCCGTTATCGCATCATTTGCATTCCAACCTGGGTGACAAAAGCAAAATTCTGTCTTAAAAAAAAAGAAAAAAGAAAAAAGAAAGAAAGAAAGAAAGCAAGTCTGACCGATCTTTGGATTTAAGAACTTGTTCTGGTGAGTGGGCACAGAGGGAACAGCGTGGCTCACGAAGGGGTTTATTTTGCTTGGCAGACATGATGGCCCTGGGTATCAACAGGTGGGTGTGCTCATTTGCAAATGAGACTTCCTGCCCAGGGGTACGTCAACTTATGTTATTTTAGGATAATTCTATTTAATTAATATAAATATTGTATACCTCACCTCTTTCCAAAATGAATTTGAGATAGCAACCCGTATCTGAAAGGAACTTGATGTTCTGTACGATAAGGAGTTCTGTGTTCTGGAACACTTGACCAAAAGAGTTTGAAGCATTTTCACATTAGGTTCCTTTGACTCTGGCCTGAAAGGGAAAGTGGCAAATGAAAGGAAACAGGCTTAAGCAAAACAAACTTAGAGAGAGGACTTGGAGAGCCTGAAGAGCTGGGGAGGGAAGGGCTGCGCTGGGCATCTCTCCCAGGTGGACTGCGTGGCTCCGGGGGAAGATGAGATCACGGAACTCCCCCTGTACAGGCCAGAAGCTGGACGTCAGTGTCGAAGTCCATTGTTTAGCCATGTTTTTTACCTGTTTTTTGTGATCATCCTAGCTACGAGCTTAGTGGTTTAGGACTCCGAGTCCTAGGCTCTTCCCGCCATTGCTATGCCCCAGTGATACCACTGCAGAATAATACCTGTATTTGAAAAAGCAAGCAGTTGTCAGTCCTGCATTTCATTTTTATAGAACGTTTTCACACAAGCGAAGAAGAAACTGATATCCTCCCCCACGGCCAATGTATCATCAGCTCACTTGTTAACAAGTCCTTTAAAAATGTAAAAAGACTACCTTCTTAGTGAGTTGGCAATTTTAGCAGGGGCTTGACTAGTGATTAGACTCCCTTTGCCATGTTGTTTTATTCATTTGCTACTCAAAGATTCACCCAGGGCTTATACAGGACTGACACAACTTTCCAGCTATTAAATTCCCCATAAGTTGTATTGTTAACTTTACAAGAGCCGGGCGCGGTGGCTCAAGCCTGTAATCCCAGCACTTTGGGAGGCCGAGACGGGCGGATCACGAGGTCAGGATATCGAGACCATCCTGGCGAACACGGTGAAACCCCGTCTCTACTAAAAATACAAAAAACTAGCCAGGTGAGGTGGCGGGCGCCTGTAGTCCCAGCTACTTGGGAGGCTGAGGCAGGAGAATGGCGTAAACCCGGGAGGCGGAGCTTGCAGTGAGCTGAGATCCGGCCACTGCAGTCCAGCCCGGGCTACAGAGCAAGACTCCATCTCAAAAAAAAAAAAAAAAAAAAACTTTACAAGAATACAAGAATGCACCCACATGTCCTCGCTGTGCAGAGCCGGTGGAACCTGACTCCATAGGTCTACAGGAGCCACTTAGGGGAGAGCCGCAGCCCCTACTTGGCAAACACAGCATCAGTGGGAAGGTTCACAAGGTCAGGGAGGAAGATCAATCATCTCTTGCTGTAAAGTTCTCCATGGACTAGGTGCTGGTGGCTCACACTTGTAATCCCAGCACTTTGGGAGACCAAGGCAGGGGGATCGCTTAAGGCCAGGAATTGAGACAAACCTGGGCAACATAGAGACATTTCATCTCTTAAAAAAAAAAAAAAAATTTTAATTAGCCAAGTGTGGTGGCACATGCTTGTAGTCCCAGCTACTTGAGATGCTAAAGCAGGAGGATCACTGGAGCCCAGGACTTCGAGTCTGCAG